TAAAAAGAAGAAGAAAGTAAGAGTTGAAGTTGAAGTGCTATGTAGGGGCTTAGGGCAGAAGTACAGACTTGAGAGAAATTTTTAAATTAAAAATTAAAGTTAATAAAAAATTTAACTTAAAAATCTAAAATTTAGAATTTGAATTTTTAGAGCTAGGTGGTGATGATGATGACAATAGTTAATATTTGTTACATGATCATGATATGTCAGGTAATATGCTAAGGACTACACATGCATTATTTCCTTTGGTACAAACTGTTACCCTATGATGGTGGTTAGTGTTATTATTTCCATTTTGAAGATAAGGAAACAAGCAGGGGAAGTAGGTGTACCATACTCAAGGCCAGACGTTATCTTATGAGAGCTAGGATTAGGATCCAGGCAGCAGCAGGCTGACTCCAAAACTTAGAGTCTTAATCATTTTGATATAATAAGCACAATAAATTTAAAGGCAATTTAGAAAGTTATATGAAAATCAAAATGCAGTACTGTACAAATGATGGTTTTGTTCTCTTTCTATAGCTCCATGAAATTTTTGCTCATGTTCCAGATTGACGTGGGCATGGGGAGGAATGTGGGAATGTAAGAAAGAACCATCATTATCCCTAGTGACTTCAGGGTCTTCCATCCCTTTATGCTGTGCCTTGAGGACAGGCTTCAGCAACTTTTTAGAAGTGATGTGCCAAAGTTTATTGATACATTCCTGCCTGGGGGACTGGAGGGACAGTTGCAGTTACTACCTGCAAGTCTGTAAGACCAAGCCCAATGAATGCTGCCAAGTGGACAGACTGAATCCTTTAGTAGATGTGCTTTTAGAGACACATGGAGAACATGGATATATTATCCAAATAAGAGCAAGAGATGATCAGGAGAGAGAGGGAAAATGAAGTCGATTTCATGTCAGGGCAGGCTCCTCTTACCCTTTGAGAAATAACCAGTAACTCAAGAGTAATCATAGAGTAATTCATTATCAGCTAGTTCAGAGAATGTTAAAGCTGGAAGAAGGCTAGTAATTGTTTAAGTCCATTAAGTCCTTTTTGGAGTCATTTATCCTTTTAAAAGTCAGAAGCTATGGACTCAGCTATACCCCCTCACACACGCATACAGATTTTGCATATTATTTCAGGGAATTCCCACATTCTCAGAAGATTAACCATGGGTCTTGAACAAGGAGTTCAAGTTAGGAATGCTGATCTAATTTAAAGCTCTCAGTTTAAAGAAAAGGAACAATATTATTAGAAGTTAATATTTAAATGGTAAATAGCTGCCAGCCAAAAGATACCATCTTACTAGAGCTGAGATTACAACACAGGCGGCAGCAGCAGGCTGACTCCAAAACCCATAGTCTTAATCGCTTTACTACAATAAACAGAATAAATCTAAAGGCAATTTAGAAAGTTATTAAGAAAATCAAAATACAATGCTGTGCAAATAATGGTTTTGTTTGAAAAGACAAAGGCAAGAGAAAAGACAAATATCTCAAAGTATTTCTGCTTCCTCTAATATTTTTCTTTGACGTTGAGTTTTTTACTCATTTGATTGGATCTCTTTACATAGAATTAATGTTTTTTAATATTACAGGTAAATTCACTTCTTTTTTCTTCTGTTAATGAGCTCCAAATTAGTGAGGTTCACCAGGCCACTGATAGGCTGCTTGTTTATAAATCACACACCTTTTAGAGTTGGACACTCCCCTCCAAAACTTTCTTACCTCTTAAAGTGATTTCTAAAGGTGACTTCTCACCTCTTTTCTTCAAAACAGAGAACGGATGACTGAAGAGTCCAAAGTGGAAGCAGAATTGCATGCTGAACACATAGAAACTCTAAGAAAGCAGTTTCAAACCGAGAGAGAAACTGCAAAGAAAGTGGCACAACGGGAAGTGGCTGAGGTATAGAGTCATGAGAGAAGTTTCTCTCTTGGTGAATACCTCTTAGGAGGATAAGCAGCTCCAAGATTTCAGAGAATGGCTGCAGTTGTTCTTTGACTCTTCTCATCCCCTTTTGACCAGCAAGCCAGATGTAATTGAGACCTCTCTGTAAAGCAACACACAGGAAAAAAGTTTCTGACAGATAATTCTCTGCCCAACAAAGGAGTACCTTGATAGGAGATTTTCCATCAGAGTGATAACCAAGAGGGATAGAGGAATAAGACTGCCATGTCATAGACAGAAATGAAATCATCTCTCTTCTCAGTTCACTTAACTGGCCTCTATTCTGCATCTACCATTTCCTGAGAGAGACAGGGAAAACACTAGAAGATATGGTCCATGCCCTTGTGTGTGCCAAATGACCCTTGTTTGTGATCTCCACTCTGGACATGAGGCAAATAGGGAAAGCATCAGAGAACTTTCTTGTGTAGCTAGAGGCTGTGTGCAATTTTGAAGGAATTCAAAGTAAGAGAAAGTTTATTTTAGGCCATTTGGTTGATAGAAGAAGGAAAGCTTAATGAGAGTACAGGATTGAGACTAGCAGAGATGACAGGGCTGGACACCTTACAAAACAGCACAGGCCAAGCTTACTTACAAAAATGAACAGGACATGTTAGCAGATGAAAAGTAGCCTGTCTTGATTAGAGCAGAGACTTTGGAAAATGTTAGAGAAAGAGTGTTAACTTACATGGAACCACCTGATGGATGGCCTTAGTTATGGAAATGTTGGATGTGAACTCTTAAGTAGAGATGGAGTACTACTTAAGAGTGAGCAGGGGGTGGCAAGATAGAAGCATGAGTTTAGGAAGGTTAATATAACAGCAGAATACAGTGGAGAAGAATAAAAAGAAACTGGAGGCATGGAGGCTCAAGAAAACTATAACAGTTAATTTGAGTATTAGATGATTAGGGCCAAGCAAAGTAGTTCAGTTGAAAAATAGAGAAAAGCCAATAGAAAAATCATCAAACAGGCCGGGCAAGGAGACTCACCCCTGTAATTCCAGCACTTTGAGGGGCCAAGGCAGGTGGATCACCTGAGGTCAGAAGTTTGAGACAAGCCTGGCCAACATGGTGAAACTCCATCTCTACTAAAACTATAAAATATTAGCCGGGCACGGTGGTAGGCGCTATAATCCCAGCTACTCAGAGGAGGCTGCGGCATGAGAATCACTTGAACCCAGGAGAAGGAGGTTGCAGTGAGCTGAGATCGCACCACTGCACTCCAGCTCCGGCGACAAGAGTGAGACTCCATCTCAAAAAAAGAAAAATCATCAGACAGACATTAAATGTTGTATCATGGAGAGGGAGGGATTAAAATAATTCCTTGGTTGGCATGGATGGTCTGTGTTTCACCAAATTTGTTACATTTAGTAGTTGCAGTTGATGGAAACTATTCACAAAATCAAACTCAAATAATGGTATATAAAACAATTTTGTGAATTGCAAAGCACTATATAAATATAAATGTTATAAAAAGCAAATTCTGCTTTTTATAGAAGAATTAGGGAACATAAAGATGTGCTAACTGTAGAAGTGTACCTTTAGTTGAGAATAATTACAAAACTGAAATCCTTTGAAGAAGGATGAGTGACAGTGAAGAACAGTGAAAGCGTGACAGCAGTGAGAAGTTGGCAGCACCGATAGGCTCACGGAGCGCTGCCTGAGTCCCAGCTCTGCATCTTACTGTGTATTAATTTATTGTCTGAATAAGTGACTTAATTTCTGAGTTTCAGTTTCCTCAATCATAACATGTAAACCATCACAACTACTTTCCAAGTTTGTTTTGAGAATTAAATGGGAAAGCATTTGTAAAGTAATTATCGCAGTGCCTGAAACTTAATCAGTACAAAGTAAATGATAGTTGTTAGGGCTTATCCAGTTTTAGAAAGGCTGTGATTGAAACAGTGGACTGTCTAACAGGAAGTTAGTTGGGTAGTAATAAAAGACTGTAGTGTAAAATTAGGATCTAAAAGAAGGAACTAGTATAGAGAGAAAAGGTACAGACACCCTTGACTTCACTCTTTGCTGTTTTAAATGCTGCCAGCCATAGAGAATACCACCTTCCTGTTTTCTCCCTTCTCAACTACCTCTTGGTCCTAAAGTTTTCAAGTGGCACTGCTTTAACAGCATATTAGAAGGACGGAACTCTGTAAAATTATTTAAGTAACTATGCAGTTTTTTTCACGGGAGAAATTAAAATCCTTAAGAACAAAAAACAAAATTATAAAAATGTGTGCCATGACAGTCAATAGCTGACAGATATTTATAGAAACTGCCATATAATTCATTTTCATTTCTTCAGACTGAGGTTACAAGTGACAGAAAGAGAATAGCTTATAGCATGATAATCACAGAGTAATTATTGTGTGCCAGACTCTACTTCTTTCTCCATATGATCTTATTTGTTATTTGTATCCTATGAGTTAGGCTATACACACACTGATCAGATGATGAACCTGAGGCTTAAGATAGTTAATTGCCTCAAAACACTGAGCTAGTAAGTGGTGAAGCTGATATTTGGACTGAAATCTGACTCCAAAGCCAGGCTCTTAAAATGCAAATACTGAATATACATTTACATTCTTTATTCCAAGAAAGATTTTGTTCTTTAGTGATAAAAATTGTGAAAACCACTTGGTCTGTTGCTCCATAAATCTGCTTAATCAGACATTATTGCCATACTAATGCTCCTTTTAAAAAGAAAGATCCAAAGACAAATAGGACAAAACTAAGTGAGCTTCTGTTAATGGAAAGTAAAAATGTTTCAATTTTTTCCTTTGTGTTTTAAGCTGAAGAAAGCCCTTGATGAAGCTAACTTCAGATCAGTGGAAGTGTCCCGGACCAACCGAGAGCTGCGACAGAAACTTGCAGAGCTAGAGAAAATGCTAGAAAGTAACAAGGAGAAAATAAAGAATCAGAAGGCCCAAATTAAGCTCCACTTGTCAGCTAAGGCGAACAATGCTCAGAATATAGAAAGGATGAAGGTTATAAGAGAAACCTCTTCTCACTTCCTGGGTACCCTGTGAGGATGTGGGCAGTCAGTGGTATCTGGGGAAGGCAGGTTTTAGAACCCTACCCGCCCCATGTTTTCTCTGGGAGTTACAGCCAGTTGCCTTTGGGGAGACTCTTTTTTCAGTGGAGACACTGCTGTGTAAATGTTTGATTTCTCATTTGCTGCCAGTGTCACATTCTGGCTCCCCATCTGTCCCTTCCGTGTTGATTGTATTGGACTTTACTCTTTCAGGATCAGTGGGCCAGATGGGAAAGAAAGCTCAGCCGGAACTGGTAACTTTGGGTCTCATATTGGATTCTGTCTGTCATCCCATAGGCAAAAAGAGCAAGCCAGTTTTTCCACTGATCATCTTTTTATGTTACTTTCCATTTACTTTTAGCAAATAGAAACAGAATTGAAGCAAATGGAGCTAATTAAGGATCAATATCAGAAAAAAAACTTTGAACAGGTAGATGATTTCCATATACTCTATGTTTACCTGTCATGCAAAATCTCAAACTTGGAGGGTGTTCACTAAATGTCTCCATCTTTGTATTCTTCCAGTCTTTGAGTATCCAGAGATTCGTGTGTGAAATGACTAACCTGCAGAAAGAGATGCAGATGTTGGCCAAGAGCCAATATGATGCCTCAGTACGGAATAAACAACAGGAGCAGCACCTAGAAGCAGAGCGGAAAATAAGGCAGGAGCTAGAGAATCGGTGCCAGGTGAAAGGTTTCCTAAGATTTATCTTAAGGATGATTAGCAAATGGCATGTGCCAAAGCCCAGCAGTATTGGACCTAGACTTTCTAGACTCTACAGAAGACAACACACATTTACAAATTGTTTATCTTAGCTAAGTCCTTAGAATAACAGTATGGAGGAAGAAGGCCGTAGTTTGAATGTGGCAAATGTTCTCCGTTTTCAGTTTAATAAAAGTCAATGTCAATTTTTAAAGAACATTTAGAGCTTACATATGTAAAGTATCAGTTACCTAAGTAAGACTTTTTACTCTGAACTGAATTTTATAGCCTTTCAGGAGCTTTATACACCTTATTTCTTCTCCTAGCACAGATACACCTGTTGCTGTTACAGGACTCTTAGGTATTCCTAAATGAATAAAAAGCGTAACATCATATCACTGAAAAGGGACTTCAAGAGATCTCTGAGCTCTTGTCTTCCAATAGGGTTTGTCATGAGAAGTATCTTCCCAGTTCTGAAAAGAGATTAATCACTTTCCTCAACAGAATCCATAACTGAAAAATCAAAATGTGTAATCATATCCACATATGTAGACTATGGGCTAAACTGAAAATCACAGTTTTCATCTCATATGTTGGCAGCACCTGAAGTTAGAAGGCACTCCATCCTACTTTCATCTTTGGTTGCCCATTTGTTATAATAGTGAAGCATTTGGCTCCGATGGCACATTGGAAGTTTATAAAAATCTTTGTATCACATTTTCAGAAATTAGAAGAAACTGTCAGACACCTGAAGAAATGTAAAGAGGCAACAGAGAATAAACTGAAAGAAGCCAGTGTCGAATCAGAACAGGTGAGCCAGACCCAGACAAGCCAGACTTGGACATGTTTCCTTCAACACAGCAACCCTGAAACAACCCAAGTCAATGTGAAATCCTTCATTAACATAGTTGTCAGGAATGCAATAGGCAAGAACCAATAACTTCCTAAGTGTAGTCTCTATTGTAAAGAGTGATTTTTAGATTAGGGGTCTGTGTCTTGATGATAGATGGTAGATAACAATGCTAAAATATTAAACCTGAAGTCCAAGTCTCCCTACTAAATATAAGGGAAGTCCAGCATGTGTGTGGATTTTCACGCATTATTATTTGGCATGACCGTACTGAAAGTAGATGCTCTTTGTTCAATCAATCAATAACTAAAAAAGTAAAGTAGTCCCTAATTAACTAATTTGTGTATTTGTTTTCTGTATTCTAAACTTAAATTGGCCTTTTGTGGAGTATTTCAAAATCATACTTTTTTTTTTTTTTTTAAACAGAGTCTCTTTCTATCACCAGGCTGGAGTGCATGGTGTACCACCATGCCCAGCTAATTTTTTTTATTTTTTTTTAGAGATGAAGTTTCACCATGTGGCCAGGCTGGTCTTGAACTCCTGGACTCAGGTGATCCACCAGCCTTGGCCTCCCAAAGTGCTGTGATTCCAGGTATGAACCACCACACCTGGCTCATGAACTACTACATTCTTAAGAGTCTTTTATATATTTTTTTCATTTTCAAAGACATCTTGTACTTTCATTCTTAATTTTCTCCTGGGCCCTCTCTTATATTACTTCACATCCAGGAAACATTAACAAATACATGAAAAGCAGCAAGTCTGCAATGCATTCTTTTTATTTTTTATTTTACTTTAGGTGTATACTATATCCAACATTTCTCCCCATGTTATCCCTCCCCACCCCCTGCTGTCCCTCCCCTACCCCCTCTACTGCCCCCAGTGTGTGATGCTCCTCTCCCTGAGTCCATGTGTTCTTATTGCTCAACACCCATCTATGAGTGAGAACATGTGGTGTTTGGTTTTCTGTTCTTGTGTCAGTTTGCTGAGAATGATGACTTCCAGATTCATCCAAGTCCCTGCAAAGGACACGAACTCATCGTTTTTTATGGCTGCATAGTATTCCATGGTGTATATGTATCACATTTTCTTTGTCCAGTCTATCATTGATGGGCATTTGGGTTGGTTCCAGGTCTTTGCTATTGTACACAGGGCTGCAATGAACATACGTGTGCATGTGTCTTTACAGTAAAATGATTTATGATTCTTTGGGTATATACCCAGTAATGGGATTGCTGGGTCAAATGGAATTTCTGTTTCTAGATCCTTGAGAAATCGCCACACTGTCTTCCACAATGGTTGAACTAATTTACACTCCACCAACTGTGTAGGAGTGTTCCTTTTTCTCCACATCCTCTCTAGCATCTGTTGTCTCCAGATTTTTTAATGATTGCTGTTCTCACTGGTGTGAGATGGTATCTCAATGTGGTTTTGATTTGCATTCCTCTAATGACCAGTGATGATGAGCATTTTTTCATATGTTTGTTGGCTTCATATATGTCTTCTTTTGAAAAGTGTCTGTTCATATCCTTTGCCCACTTTTCAATGGGGGTTTTTTTTCTTGTATGTCTTTTAGTTCTTTGTAGATTCTGAGTATTAGCCCTTTGTCAGATGGGTAGATTGCATTGCAAAAATTTTTTCCCATTCTGTTGGTTGCCGGTTCGCTCTAATGATGGTTTCTTTTGTTGCACAGAAGCTCTGAATTTTAATTAGATTCCAATTGTCTATCTTGGCTTTTGTTGCCATTGCTTTTGGTGTTTTAGTCATGAAGTCCTTGCCTATGCCTATGTCCTGGATGGTTTTACCTATGTTTTCTTTTAGTGTTTTTATGGTGTTATGTTTTATGTTTAAATCTTTAATCCATCTGGAGTTAATTTTAGTGTAAGGTGACTGGAAGGGGTCCAGTTTCTGCTTTCTGCACATTGCTAGCCAGTTTTCCCAACACCATCAATGCATTCTTGAACCCCTCACTCAGAAATTACTCTCACGTATAGGTTGTTAAGTATGTTGTGCAAATAGGTTGCAAAGAACATGCAGTCAGAATTTGGGTCTTTTAATTTCTAAGTAAAAAGTCTGCAACTAATATACAAAAAATACTTGTAACTTTCTTTGTGTCTTTTAATGGTGACATTTATATGTTCAGATAACAGCTAACCTGGAAGAAGCTCATCGCTGGTTTAAGCACAGGTTTGATGGTCTACAACTTGAGCTGACAAAAAACCAGTTACAGAGGCCTTCCGGGGAAGACAGGTGTCAGGAAGAGGTAAGATTAAGACATGGATGTCTTAAACAATTTTCTACTTGTTGCTTCTCAGATTTCTAATTACTGAAGTTCTGTCGTCATCTCACTATTCTCTCCATTCATCTTCCGTTTCTTTACACTAATGCTAGGAAACCAGTTTTTTTTCTTACAAAGTTCCACCTGTCACAGACTTTTTAGATTAAAATCACCTGTTTTCATGAATAAATGACATGTATAGAGGCAAAACAGGTACAGATTGCTGCAGTTAGCTTTGAACAGTCAGTGTTAGGTGTATTTTCTTTCCAACAGGACCAAGATGTAAGACATGATGTCATGTCCAGTCAATGTGTTCTGCGTCGATGGGAGAAAAAACAGAATCTTAGGCCCATGCCTAAGAAGTATCATTCTGAGGTACAGAGGAAGTGATGTCCTTGACAAGGGCACTTCTTCATGTGTAGCTCCACTCCATGATTCCACGAGCCCAGCAGCCAGGGCTGTCCTGTTTCTACAGTCATAAGAACGTGAAGTCTTTGATGTGGGCTGAAGATTTCAGACCTGAGTTTATAATTTTATGAACTCTTATATTAGTACAAAACTACTCCTTTTTTTGTGTGTGTCCCTTTTCACATTTTCCACCCAATAAATTTATGTTAATTTGTTGAATGATAGGAGATGGTGTTGCATGATTCTTGTCTGTTTTTCTAACAAGTATGTTTTATAAAAAAGTTTTTAGCAAGGTTCTAAATGATATTGCTACTAAATGATATGATACTTTGTTTCAATGATGTGTCCTACTCCAACATGTAGTAGATAATTCCTGGAAATAGAATTGTGTGAAAAATGGTAGACTCCTTACTGTCTTGTAAACTTACTTCTGAGTTGGGTAATTACCAGCATATCTTTTTTTCTTTTTTTCTTTTTGAGATGGAGTCTTGCTCTGTTGCCAAGCCGGAGTCCAGTGGCACGATCTTGGCTCACTGCAACCTCCACCTCCCAGGTTCAAGCGATTCTCCTGCTTCAGCCTCCTGAGTAGCTGGGACTACAGGCATGCGCCACCACACCCAGATAATTTTTGTATTTTTAGTAAAGATCGGTTTTCACCATGTTGGCCAGGATGGTCTTGATCTCTTGACCTCGTGATCTGCCCACCTTGGCCTCCCAAAGTGTTGGGATTACAGGCATGAGTCACCATGCCTGGCCCAGCATATCTTTTAAAAGGCTAATATCTCTGTTCTCAAATAAGGCATTTCAGAGATTATGTTTACAGCTTGCTTGGTCATTAAAAAAGTTATAGAATGCAGCAGTCTGTTCTGCTCAGGGAGACTATGCCTGACCAACATAGCTCTTCCTTACTGTAATTAAACAATAAGTTCAGCTTTGTCTTTTTATTTCAGATGTTGAGTGGTGGATTAGGTAATCCAGATTTAACATATGTAAGTGGATGGCATAATACCTGGCTTAATTAATACTCAAGTAATCATAGCTACTGCTGATATTATCAGGACCTAAATCAAGTAAGCAATCATGAAACTGGAAATAATATCAAATATAAGACTGTAAAAGGTTGATGAGCCTACCACTCAACATCTGATATAAAAGACAAAGCGGAATTTATTGCTTACTATATAGTAAGGGAGAACCTGTTGTTCAGGCACAGTCCTTGAGCAGAGCAGACTGTTAATCTCATATAGGTTTTTTGGAAATAATGGAATTCATATCAAAATCTATAGAGTGTGGTTACTAGAGTGAGACTATTCATTGATCACATTCAGGAACATGTAAATTGGAGTGGGTCCATTTCTGTTTGACCTTAGGAAGAAAGGACTCTCACTGGTTTTCAGGTTTGTAAAAGCATGTACAAAAAGGCAGGTTGGTCGGGTGCAGTGGCTCACCCCTGTAATCCCAGCACTTTGGGAGGCCAAGGCAGGAAAATCACTTGAGGCCAGGAGTTCGAGACCAGCCTAGCCAACATGGTGAAAGCCTGTCTCTACTAAAAATACAAAAATTAGCCAGGTTTGGTGGTGCATACCTGTTGTACCAGCTACTTGAGAGGCTGAGGCACAAGAATCACTTGAACCCAGGAGCTGGAGGTTATAGTGAGCCAAGATCATGCCAGTGCGCTCCAGCCTGGGCAACAGAGCTAAGTTCTGTCTCAAAAAGGGAAAAAAGGCAAGTTGGCATTGATCTAGTGGACAAGTTAAAAACTGGTAAAAACTGGTAGTTAAAACTAGCTGCTTATTCTCATGGCTTCTAAACAGTCTATTTTTGGGAGGATGTAAATGTTTTATTCTTTGTGCCCCTTTGGTGCTTATAACATCATATGTTAGTTCAGTGGCTCTGTAGAAGCATTTGAGACTGAACAACAGACATCAAACAACTATTTTGTTAACCAAGGTATATATGAGGTGTTAGCACTGGTGCATACACCTCTCTGGTTGGAAAAAGAAAATAATTCATGGCTTATTTTATTACCTATAACTACTTTGGTTCTGTGGTTTGAATGTGTCCCCTCCAAAATTCATGTTGAAACTTAATTCTTACTGTGGTGGTATTAAGTGGGGGGCTTTCAGGGTCTCTGGGGAAGTGTTATTAAGTGGGAGGCATTTGGGGCTCTGCCCTCAGGAATGCAGTAGTGCCTCATTAAAGGGCTGGAGGGAACTAGCTTAGGCCATTTTGCCCTTCTGCCTTCTACCATGTGAGGACACAGCAACAAGGTGCCACCTTAGAAACAGGGGACGAAGACCTCATTAGACATCAAATCTGCAAACACCTTGATCTTGGACTTCCCAGCGTCCCAAATTGCAAGAAATAAACGTCTGTTTTTTATAAATTACTCAGTCTCAGCTATTTTGTTATAGCAGCAGAAAAAGACTAAGAAGATGCCTGGTTAAGAAAAATTTAAATTATTTGCTGTATCTCCAAGGGTTGGGCTGTGTTATTTACTGGGTCAGCTGAATTGAAGGAACACATTTTTATGGTGTCCTCAAGTTGTCAAACTCCTATAGGATAGGTCACTATCCTCAGGAGTTGAAATGGTTTGGCTCTGTGTCCCCACCCAAATTTCCTGTTGAATTGTAATTCCCAGTGATGGAGGACGAGGGGCCTGGTGGAAGGTGATTGGATTATGGGGGCAGTTTTCCCCCTTGCTGTTCTTTTGATAATGAGTGACTTCTCACAAGATCTGGTTGTTCAAAAGTGTGTAATACCTCCCTGTTCACTTGCTCTCTCCTGCTGCCATGTGAAGACGTGTTTCCCTTTTGCCCTTCCGCCATGATTATAAGTTTCCTGAGGCTTCCCCAGCCATGCTACTGTACAGCCTGTGGAACTGTGAGTCAATTAAGCCTCTTTTCTTTATAAATTACCCAGTCTTGGGTAGTTCTTTATAGCAATGTGAGAATGGAGTAATTGAGGAGTCTCCCTAAAAAGGGATCTGTCCCTTTGGACTCTTTATAAAGATATGTAGTCAATTGAGGGTATTGGGGAATTATAACCTTAAAACAGCCTAACCAGGAGCCCCCCAGAGTAATTAACCTTGGACCATGGTTGGCATTGAAAACCTTGGTGCTGAATTCCATAAAGGAAAAAGATCCTACTTAACTACACCAGGGAGATGATTAACCTTCATGGATTGTAAATGTATTATCCCTTATGTTGTCATGACAGTCACAGTTATATGACAAGAATATTTATATCCTGCTTTTCCAGAACAAGGACATTTTAGTCACTTAGGCATTGTCCTTAAAGGATATCATTATTGATATGGTTAATGTAACATACCTTTATATTATTTTTTAGATTGTCTATACTAGATTGGGAGAAAGATACAGTTAGATTGATAATCATTTTTAGTAAAGCTTATATTTGTTATAAGAGGTATTATGATAGCTAAATCACAACTACCTAAGCTTAAACCAGTAAATAGAGAAGTATGATCAACAGAATAATAGACAAAGGTACGTTAAAGAGAATGTGACAGAAGAATCTTGTTCGGATGGTCTTAGGCAGAAGCCACCTGTTTTGTGTGGTTATCTGCTTGTTCTGAGGCTTTTGGGTTAGCAGTCAACTTGTGCAGATCATCTTCTGAAAGCCCTTCAGAGAACTTTGGGATCTCTAATAACTTTTTGATTCTATTAAGACCTTTTCTATTTCTCCAGAGGATTGAAGTGATATGAGCAATAAGGATTTGTTTAAAAGGCAAAGCTTTTATAATTCAAATCATGGAAAACCATTCCAACTTGATGCATCTCTGGAAACACAAACTCTGATCCTTTTTTAGCCATTGTGAATGCTGGCTTTTTGACAAGGGAGTGCTTCCACTCATCCAGAAAATAAATATACCGTTATTAATATATATAACACACATAGAATGAAGTAGTTATATAAAATCCATTTGAATATACTCCAAGAGTCTTTTAGGGTATGGTTCTAGTTCATACCCCACCTTTATAATTTTTCCAAATTAATTTCACTACAGATAGATATTATCTGGTGACATTCTTCGCCATACTCAAAAAGTTTCTATTAGTGATTAGTATTGTGGAAACTTTTTCTCTACTGTGATAGGTTGTTTTATAGAGGATTTTAACAAGTGTCTGTTTGAAGATTTTTTTTCCTTCAACTTATTTTAAGTTCAGGGGTATATGTGCAGGGTGTACAGGTTTGTTACCTAGATAAACGTGTGCGATGATGGTTTGCTGCACAAATCATTCCATCACCTAGGTATTAAGTCCAGCATCCATTAGCTATTCTTCCTGATGGTCTCTCTTCCCTCACTCTACCCCTTACAGGTCCTAGTGTGTGTTGTTGCTGCCCATGTGCCTATTTGTTCTCATCACTTAGCTCCCACTTAAAAGTGAGAACACATGATGTATGGTTTTCTGTTTCTGTTTTTTGGCTTTCTGTTTTTCTGGTTAGGATTACCTCAGCTATCAGCCTCTTTTTTGGTCCCATATGAATTTTAAGATAGTTTTTTTCCAGTTTTTTAGTTTGCAGAGGATAATGGCTTCCAACTTCATCTATGTCACTGCAAAAGACATGATCTTTTTTTTTTCATGGCTGCATAGTATTTCATGGTGTTTATGTACCACATTTTCTTTATCCAGTCTGCTATTAATGGGTTAATTCCATGTATTTGCTATTGTGAATACTGTTGCAGTGAACATACACATGCATGAATCTTTATAACAGAATGATTTATGTTCCTTTAGGTATATTTCTAGTAATGGGATTGCTGGGTCGAATGGTATTTCTGCCTCTATGACTTTGGGGAATTTCCACACTCTGTTTCACAATGGTTGAACTAATTTACATTCCCACCAACAGTGTAAATACTTTCCTTTTTTTCTGCCACCTCACCAGCATCTGTTGTTTTTTGACTTTTTCATAACAACCATTCTGATTGGCATGAGATGGTATCTCATTGTGGTTTGGATTTTCATTTCTTCAGTGATGAGTGATGTTGGCCACATGTATGTTTTACTTTGCGAAGTATCTGTTCCTGTTCTTTGCCTACTTTTTAATGGGGTTGTTTGTTTTTTTCTTGTAAATTTGTTTAAGTTCCTTGTAGACTCTGGATATTAGACCTTTGTCAGAGGGATTAGATTGCAAAAATTTTCTGCCATTTTGCAGGTTGTCTGTTCACTCCGATAGTAGTTTCTTTTGCTGTGCAGAAGCTCTTTGGTTTAATTAGATCCCATTTGTCAATTTTTGCTTTCATTGTGATTGCTTTTGGTATTTTTGTCATGAAATCTTTGCCCGTGCCTATGTTCTAAATGATGTTGCCCAGATCTTCTGTTAGCGTTTTTATAGTTTTGGGCTTTACATTTAAGTCTTTAGTCCATTGTTAG